CGGAGTGTGAGTGATCGGGGTGGAGCCCTGGTTGTGTTCCGTCTGGCAAGTATCGTGGTTGATCCTGGATTGTGGCGTTTCCATCTGGGGCCACCGTCAGAGGAACGGAACGCGGACAAACGAGGAGGAGGAGGACGAGGAGGAGGAGGCGGCGGAGGCGGAGGCGGAGGCGGAGGCGGAGGAGGAGGACGAGGAGGAAGAGGAGGACGAGGAGGAGGGGGAGTAGGATAATACCAAGAGTAATACTAGTAATAGGAATCATAAGATGACGAATGCTACGAACAGTAATAATCCTATTTTCAAGCGTACGAATAGTAGCACCGTTATCAGTACTAGTATCTTGAATGCTGCTATCGTTGCGACTACTACGAAACATAAACATATGCGCCTGATCATAATGAGTTCCGTATTATGATTAAGTTCGCTCGTGCCACTACCACTACGATTATTACTACTACTACTACTACTGCTACTACTACTACTACGACGACTACTACTACTAATCCTACTACTACTATTACTACTACTACTACTACTACTACTACTACTACTACTACTACTACTACTACTACTACGACTGCTACTACTACGACTACTACGACTATTACGACTACTACGACTACGACTACTAGTAGTACTACTACTACTACTACTACTACTACTACTACTACTACTACTACTCTACTATACTACTCTACTACTACTACTACTACTACTACTACTACTACTACTACTACTACTACTACTACTACTACTACTACTTACTACTACTACTACTACTACTACTATTACGACTAGTAGTACTACTACTACTACTACTACTACGACTACTACTACTACTACTACTACTTCTACTACTATACTACTACTACTACGACTACTACTACTACTACTACTACTACTACTACCACTACTACTGCTGCTACTGCTACTACTACTACTACTACTACTACTACCACTAGTCATTCTAACCTTAATCGTGGCAATCGTTTAACCATGCAGCTGGTATTAGTAATCGTATTCGTAACAGTAATACAAGTTCCAGTAAGGAGAAGTCGCACTACTAACACCCCTCATAGTAATAGTATGTCCAGTGCAATCAAGCATACGAAAAATACCCTGTGACGTACCCAACCCATTTGTATCATGGGAAACGAGGAGTTGGCCGAAACTTGCACGGACAATCAAATTGCAGGACCCGTTGTTTGATATGTAAGTTACTTGGGACACGCGCCAATGGAATGATGCGCAGGAGAACCATACAAGAACGAGGGGCGACAACTCCAGGCTCGAAGAAGACATGGGGAGTCGGGAACGAAGAGCAGGAGAACGACGTGCGGGAAGCCCACTGTGCTGGGCCCCCCAGCAGCCCTCGAAAGTGGCGACAGTTTCACAGATTGCAGCCCCCCCCGGGATGGCGAGGTCCCATTTGGATCCGCCGTTGGTGCCCACTGTGCTGGGCCCCCCAGCAGCCCTCGAAAGTGGCGACAGTTTCACAGATCGCAGCCCCCCAGGGATGACGAGGTCACATTTGAATCCGCCGTGGGTGCCCACTGTGCTGGGCCCCCCCCGGCAGCCCTCGACAGTGGCGACAGTTTCACAGATCGCAACCCCCCAGGGATGGCGAGGTCCCATTTCAATCCGCCGCGAGTGCAGACTGTGCTGGCCCCCCCAGCAGCCCCCGAAAGTGGCGACAGTTTCACATATCGCAGCCCCCCAGGGATGGCGAGGTCCCATTTGAATCAGCCGCGAGTGCACACTGTGCTGGGCCCCCCAGCAGCCCTCGAAAGTGGCGACATTTCACAGATCGCAGCCCCCGGATGGCCATTTGAAACCGCGCGAGTGCACACACGCTGGGCCCCCCAGCAGCCCCCGAAAGTGGCGACAGTTTCACAGATCGCAGCCCCCCAGGGATGGCACAGATGCTGGGCCCCCCAGCAGCCCAGTTGATTGGCGAGGTCCCATTTGAATCCGCCGCGGGTGCACACTGTGCTGGGCCCCCCAGCAGCCCTCGAAAGTGGCGACAGTTTCACAGATCGCAGCCCCCCAGGGATGGCGAGGTCCCATTTGAATCCGCCGCGAGTGCACACTGTGCTGGGCCCCCCAGCAGCCCTCGAAAGTGGCGACAGTTTCACAGATCGCAGCCCCCCAGGGATGGCGAGGTCCCATTTGAATCCGCCGCGGGGACACTGTGCTGGGCCCCCCAGCAGCCCTCGAAAGTGGCGACAGTTTCACAGATCGCAGCCCCCCAGGGATGGCGAGGTCCCATTTGAATCCGCCGCGAGTGCACACTGTGCTGGGCCCCCCAGCAGCCCTCGAAAGTGGCGACAGTTTCACAGATCGCAGCCCCCCAGGGATGGCGAGGTCCCATTTGAATCCGCCGCGAGTGTGCTGCAGCCGTCGACAGTGGCGACGTTTCACAGATCGCAGCCAGGGATGGCGAGGCCGCCGCGAGTGCACACTGTGCTGGGCCCCCCAGCAGCCTCGAAAGTGGCGACAGTTTCACAGATCGCAGCCCCCCAGGGATGGCGAGGTCCCATTTGAATCCGCCGCGGGTGCACACTGTGCTGGGCCCCCCAGCAGCCCTCGAAAGTGGCGACAGTTTCACAGATCGCAGCCCCCCAGGGATGGCGAGGTCCCATTTGAATCCGCCGCGAGTGCACACTGTGCTGGGCCCCCCAGCAGCCGTCGACAGTGGCGACAGTTCCACAGATCGCAGCCCTCCAGCTGGCACGCAGCGACGAGCGAGGCGAAAGGCAAGGGGGCAGAGAGGGGCGGCAAGGGGCGGGAAGGAAGTGAGGAAGGCGACCCACGAGCAGTGCTCTGTTCAAAACGGGCACCCAACGCAGGAGGGTTGGGAACAAACTGATACGAAGAGCCAAATACGACTAGCAATACTAGTAAGAATACTTACACCAATCGTAATAGTAAACATGCCAACCATACTTCCATTCGCACTAACATTTATAGTTCTACTATTCCTAAAACTAATACGAGAAGTAGTACGATGACTAATAATGTTATTGCCAAAACTACTCATAGGAGCAGTAAAGGTAGGTTTACGATTCAGAATGAGACGAGTGATACTACCGATACTACACACAAGACGAATACGAATGACAAACATGATGTTAACACCACTACCAATACGAAACATACACGTCATACTACTAATAACATTACTAGTATTACTAACCATAGGGAGGAGGAGGATCAGGAGGCGGAGGAGGTGGGGAATGACGACGATGATGATGGTGATGGTGATGGTGATGGTGATGGTGATGATGATGATGATGATGATGATGATGATGATGATGATGATGATGATGATGATGATGATGATGATGATGATGGTGGTAGTGGCGGTGGTGGTGATGCTGATGATGATTATGATGATTGCGAGGAGGAGGATAATGAGGAAGGGAGGAGGCGGAAGATGCGGAGGGGAGGATGCGTGTGACGTTGAACAGGATGAGGCGAAGGAGGAGGATGAGGAGGAGGAGGAGGAGGAGGAGGAAGAAGAGGAGGAGGAGGAGAAGAGCATGAGCAGGAGGAAGTGTAGCAGGAAAGGGAGTGTGAGGAAGAGGGTGTGGAGGAGGAGGAGGAGGAGGAGGAGGACAAAGAGGAGGACAAAGAGGAGGACAAAGAGGAGGACAAAGAGGAGGAGGGAGGAGGAGGAGGAGGAGGAGGAGCAGAAGTCTCTCCCACGCGCACCTTCCCCCGCTCCCTCCCCACTCCCCCGGCTCCGTTCTAGCTCCTTTCCCCGTCCCACCAGCATGCCCGCTGCCCCACAAACTCGGGAAAACTACTGGACGCGAATCGCCGTGATTTGCGGCACAGCGGCCGATGAAGTATCCAATTCTTCAGTTGTTTTCTGTTTGTCGCCTCATTCCTAAAGATGGTCTAGCTACCCTTTAAGCCTATAGCGCGCTCGGTGATCCTCAACCTCCCTGCCATGTAAAACTCGGCGCTCGAGGTTGAGTCAGTACCGCTGTCACGGCGCTACAATGTCTCTGAACTGTGAAGCAACGTTGCGGTTCTGGACGGGGTCACATTGTTCGGGTATGGCATGTTTTTCGTCTGCGCGCGCGGGGACACGACCCCGCTCGGTCGACGTTGAAGGAGTCGACCGCGCGAGCACGCGCGCAGTATTCCTGCAGCCGGCCCGGCCGTGTACAAGCCTTCTGTTTGCCATGCGGTGTGCCACTTTAGCGGCCTGCGTGGGCCTTGTCGTATGGTCAATTGTCGCCGTGCCCTCATGCGTAAATCCCGCCGCGCACTTCCTCGTTCATACCCACCCCTCTCCGACCTCCCCAGATCCATACCCGCTTCGGCCCCCTGCCATCCCCGACCCCCTTGCCTGCCTTCTCTTTCGATCTCCTTAGACCCCTCCGTTCTGCCTTTCCACCCCGAGACCCCCTGAGCTCTTCGACCTACCATGTGTATCCCGCCCCCCCGAGACTCCTGACCCATAGACCTTCCCCCCCCCGTTGGGCTGTCAGCCCCGCCCCCCTCTCCTGACCTCCCGTGCACGTCTCCCTCTCGACCCTCTCTGCCCCCGTGCTCGCTCGGGCCGTGGGGAGAATGGATGGGGAGGAGGAGGAGCAGCACGAGGAGGCGGGAGAGGGAGGAGGGAGAGGGAGGAGGCGCAGGGGGCAGGACGCGGAGCAGGGAGAGGACGAAGACGTGGAGGAGGGGGAGGAGGAGCTCCCAACCGCCGCGCGCCCCGCACCGTCTGAAACGCGGGGAGCCCGAGAAGGCTGCCGCCCGGACCCTGCCCCCGGTCTGCGCGCCGCCCAGAAATCAGGAGGGGGAAAACACACACAGACACAATTCATCGTCGATCCCCAGGACAATCTGGGAACACATGGGAAGTGGGCGGGGGAAGACGAAAACCCAGAACATGTGAGAACATACGTGGAATCTATTTATTCGTGTGTATTGATCTGTGTGTCCCAGGGCCCCCTCCAACAAAGCCCCCCCCCCCAAACACACGCCAGGAGTACGAGGAGCGCAAGCTCTTCCGCACCAACGAGCAGGCCGCCATCTCCAAGGCGCCGCGCGCAGCGCTGCCTGGGCACCGAGTCCCGCCGCTCCTCGCCTGGGCACCGAGTCCCGCCGCTCCTCGGGGGAAGGGCGGGAAGGAGGAGGAGGAGGAGGAGGAGGAGGAGGAGGAGGAGGAGGAGGAGGAGGAGGAGGAGGAGGAGGAGGAGAAGGAGGAGCATATCGGAGCATATCGGAGAGCGCACCCAGGTGCGACCTCATTCGCAGGAGCGAGCCTCGACCACGGTCAGGTAGATTATACGGCGCTCGCAGGAGCGCGGATCGGCAGAGGCACCTCACGACAGTAAAGTGCCACCGACCCTGAAATGAAAGTCAGTCCGACGAGCCAGTGTCGAATCCGTCCTGCGACGGGTCTTGCTCATCGCGAAGAGAGGCGGCGACAGGTCGGAGCACACTCGCATCTTCGAGCCGACACGGAGGAGGGACCGCAAGGCTGGAGGTTCCACAAGGAACCTCAGCCGCCGGCCGAGAACTTGCTGGGAGGCCGGCTCGCTCAGGAGGCGGAGGAGGAGGAGGAGGAGGAGGAGGAGGAGGAGGAGGAGGAGGAGGAGGAGGAGGAGGAGGAGGAGGAGGAGGAGGAGGAAAGCGGCAGCGTCTGAAGACTCCATTGCCGTCAGAGCCTCAGTGCCTCAGGAGGAAGAGGAGGAGGAGGAGCAGGAGGAGGAGGTGGAGGTGGAGGAGGGGAAGGGTGTTGATGAGGAGGAGGATGAAGATGATGATGGGAGGGTGAGACGGAGGAGGAAGGAGCAGGATGAGGAGGAGGAGGAGGAGGCGGACGCGTTGGATGATGATGATGATGAGGAGGAGGAGGAGGAGGAGGAGGAGGAGGAGGAGGAGGAGGAGGAGGGTGCGAGGAGGATCACGGACCAAGCTTCCAGGTCTACGAGCGGGCGGACCGCAAGCAGGGGAACCCCCTAAGTCTTAGCCCGTTTATGAGGTTTGACAGCAAGGGTGTGCCTTTTCTGTAAGCCCCGTCCTTCTCCCACACTCAGGAGTGGCGTCCCAGGGTGAGACACAGCCTCGTCAAGGGGTGGGGAGAAGTGCGAGGCTCCTCGGCGACACCACCAGGGGCCATCCTGGAGCGCGGGTCGTCGGCGGCTCTTGACGGTCTGGCCGCAACCACCTGCAACATGGAAAGTTACGAGCCAGACTCGACAAGGGGGGAAGAGGGGGGGACTCGTGCCTGTTCGTTGAAATGGGTCAAGCCGAAACACAGTGGACCGCAGGCTGATGTGCCATGCTTGGCAGGGGCCACAGGCGCGCAAGCCTGGCACAGAGTTCCGCACTCCTGCGGAATAAACACGGCCCTCTGCGACAATGGGGTGGTGGGACGATGCCATGGGCGAAGTGCCGTGGTCACTCTATGGGCTTCTCGACCCCGGGGGCATTACCCACGAGCTTTAGGAGAAGAAAAAGGTGGGAGGGGAGGGCTGGAAGGCCTGGGCGAAGGAGACCTTGCCCCTCCACGGGGCCCTCCGCCTCGCGTCCTCCTCTCGAGCAGCTTGGCGTCGTTGCTCACGACGCGACAATGGGGAAGGAGGAGGGGGGGGGGACGGGGGATAAAGGGGGGTGGGATGGGGGGAGGCGGAAGAGAGCGGTGCCTGCGCGAAGCCCGATCTCCACGTCCCAGCCGCCCGGAGAAGCAGGATCTCTTGGACGGCTCCGGGTTTTTCCGTCTTGGAGGAGGACCCTTCGGGCCGTCCGCCGTCCGCGGCCCCAAGGCTGGCGATCCGCGCGAGGGGGGCGCCGCAATCAGGCGCAGGCTGTCTGGGGGCTCCTTGCGGCCTCCGGGGGTTCCAGCGGGCGCAGCGGGCTCCAGGGCGCGCGCGCGCGAGAGCATGGTTTTGAAAACCGGCCAGCCCCCAAGCAATGATTCCGACGAGGGGGAGGGGCACGAGCCGCCCCGCGAGGTCGGGTGCTCGGTCTCGGCCGCCCCTGACCTCCAGCTTTTTCCAGATTGATTCTCGCGCCGGAGGCCCCGTGGCCCGAAGCAGACCGCGTCCCGGGGCCGCGGTGCCCGGGGCGGAACAGCTGCAGAGCCGGCATCCTGTGTTGCGCTCCGGCAGAGGGTCGGCGGTCATGGCGCCCGTGCCGCGGAGCAGCACCTGGCGACGAGTCCCCATGTCGACGCCCGATGGGATCCGACATGGGCGGGCCGAAGCCCCTCGGGGTACCTCTTCGGCGCTGCCCCCCTCGAAGCCGCCCCCTGCGCTGCCGCCCCCCGCCCCCGTCCTCCCAGGGCCGCTCGTGCGGGTTCGCGGGTGCAGGGCGGCTTCGGGCCCCCAGGCCGCCCTCCCGAGGGCTCGCGTGGGATGCCTGAGGACCCGATGGGCTCACGCTACAGTCGGGGCGCTGAAGAAGGAACCCGCTTTGTTTGGGAGGGGCTCAGTGTTCCGTAGTTGTTCTACAGTTCGCCTTTGGTATGCCTGTGGTTTTCGATGGGACATCGAAGCTTAACTTATGGAAGGAAGGGGCCCCGTTCCTTATTTGGGGGTCCTTAGGTCAACGCCCCAACTGTACTCCTCATGCGTAGATGCCGATGTGCCATCCCCAGCACAGCGGAAAACATTCGCCGCTTGCCGCCGCCGCCAGGTCAGCCACACCTTCCTTTTCGGCCCTTTCCGCGCCCAGTGATTGGCTGGTCGCTAGGTTGGCTGGCTCGTTGGTTTGTTGGCTGGGTCGGTTGGTCGGCCAGTTGGTTTGATGTCTGGTTGCTCGGGGTGACAAGTTGGTTGTTTGGTTGGAAAGTTGGTCGGTTTCGGCCCCTCCGCCCCCGTGTTGGCTGGAACATTGGTGCATGCACACCTACATCACGCATGCATGTACATATGTACATATGTACTCAGTGTTTATGTGATTGCATTGTGCGACTCCAATACAAGTATAGAATTCCTACTTTGTAGTATTGGTTTTCTTTGTTTAACTAAGGCTTTCTTTTGGCGTAAAACAAAGAGTTGGTTTCTCATGTTTGAGATTATTGGTTTCGTATTAAGGTTGCAAGGGGTCGGGGCCCATCAATTCATTGTCTCTGCATCGGCAGTGCCAATCACGGAACGGTGAAACAAAACTCCACCCTGGTAGACAACTAGGGATTGCCCTGCCTGTTGCTTGTGATGTCAAAGTGGCAAGGCCAGCCCGACAGACCGTAGGCTAACTGGGCGTGCACGGCAGGGGTCTTTATCACACAACCCGCTTCCATTGCGCATCGAAGGTGGCGGTGGTGATGGTGCCCTCATGCAGCCGAACTGGATGCTGGGACTCGTGCCTAGACTGTTGAATCTGTCAGGTCGAAACGGACCGCAGGCTAATTGGGCATGCTTGGCAGGGGCCCTTGAGATAATGTTGCGCCTCCAGGGCGTGCGGACTTTTGCCTCTGATGAAATCGGTCAAACCGACCCGTCGGATGGCAGGTCCACTGGGCGTCTTCGGAAGGAGCCTCTTATCCAGTGTCCTGGCGTAGACTACCGAAGCTGATGATAATGCAGGCATGCAGCATACGCACTTGGATGCCGGGGTTCGTGCCTATGATCAGGCCGAAACAACGGACGGCATGCCAATTGGGCATGCTTGGCAGGGTCCCCTAGCGAGCAATCTTGGCATGGAGTTCTGACTCTGAAGATGATGTTGTGCCAGCCGGGAGTGAGGATTTTTGCTTCTGATGCCGAATCGGTCGAACCGACCCGACGGGCTGTGCGTTCATTGGGAGTGCTCGGCAGGGACCTCTAGCCCACATACACTTGGCGTAGGGTGCCGAAGCTGATGACGGAGGCCTGCAGCCGACCTGGATGTCGTAAGTTGTGCCAATACGGTTGAATCGGTCATTCCTACGGACGGGCCGCAGGCTAATCGGGCATGCTTGGCAGGGGTCTTTTCAGTATCCTGGCATGCAGTTCCGAGCGTGATGATACTGACGATGACGATGATGATGATAATGATGATGATGATGATGATGATGATGATGATGATGATGATGATGATGATGATGATGATGATGATGATGATGATGATGATGATGATGATGATGATTATGATGATGATAAGGATGCTGAGTCTCATGACCATGATGCTGCTGCTGATGATGATGATGATGCTGATCATGATGATGATGATGATGATGATGATGATGATGGTGGTGGTGGTGGTGGTGATGATGATGATGATGATGATGTTGATGATGATGATGCTTATGCTGATGGTGGTGATGATGATGCTGATTAAGATGCTGATGCTGATGCTGATGATGATGTGCCTGTCGAGAGTGCGGAATGCCCAGGCTCTTGTCGGCATCGGCAAAGTCAAATCGGTCAAACCGACCCGACGTGCCGGTGGCTATTTGGACATGCTTGGCAGGATCCTGTAACCCGCAGTTCCGACACAGAGTCCCAGCATAAGGATGATGTTGCGCCAGCAATATATGCTTGGACTCTTGCCGATTGTGTGGAATTGGTCAAGCCGGCCCGCCAGACCGTCGGCTAATTGGACATGGTCGCCAGGCGCCCTTCACCCACAGTCCCTCGGCACAGAGTGCTGAAGGTGATGACTCTGTGGTCCTTCAAGAACCTAGATACTGGGACTCGTGCCCATGCGTTGAACTGGTCAGGCCGAAACGACGTATTGCAGGTTCATTGGGTATGCTTGGCAGGGGCCTTTTCAGCGCAGTCCTGGCATAGAGCTCCTCCTTTGAGGATGAAGCTGCGCATACTGACAGTGTGAGCGCAAGCCAAAGGAGTCGACCAAGCCGAGTCGAGCGGTGGCGGCACCCTTAGTAGAGGGGTCATGTTTTCCGTGTGCGGAACGAAGGTATGAACCCCGAAGGCGCCCTCAGCTGCCCCACCCGACAACCCGCGCCAGAGGAGGAGAAATGATGATGAGAACGGAGGAGGAGAAACATGAGAAGGAGGCCGATGAGGAGGATGAGGAGGAAGAGGATGAGGAGGAGGAGGAGGGCCTCGAGGGGGAAGAAGAGGATCAGTGTTAAGGGAGTCGAGGATGATGAAGGAAGAAAAGGGATGATCCAGGAGAGAAGATGCAGGCAAATAAGGGGTATATGAAGTGTGCAACATTGATGATGTAGGGGGAGGTGAGGTAGGAGGAGGATGAGCAGGAGTACTGAGACTAGTACCGTCTGGCCACCGCCTAGATATGTGGAGGTAGATCTGCTAGCTCAGTCGGGCTTTGAGCTGCATAGAAGAATGAAGAGTAGGATGCGGTATTTTAAGGAGTTTGCAAGAGGCTTTGCGGGGCTTGGGATTGTAAGGAGGGGGGGGGCTCATTGACTTACGCCTTGTAGGAGGAGGAGGAGGAGGAGGAGGAGGAGGAGGAGGAGGAGGAGGAGGAACATGACGATGAGCAGCAGGAGGAGGAGAAGGAGGAGGAGGAGAAGGAGGAGCAGGAGGAGCAGGAGGACCAGGGGTGAGGCGGAGCGAGGCGGAGTGAGGCGGAGTGAGCAAGACGAGGAGGAGGAGGATTTCTCTTTCCTCTCGCCCTGCTGCTGCCGTTGTTGCTGCTACTGCTGCCGTTGTTGCTGTTGCTGCTGCTCCTCATCCTCCTCCTTCTCCTCCTCTTTACCCTCCTCATCTTTCCTCCCTGCTCTTGGTCCTCGTTCTCTTCCTTGTCTTCGTCCTTGTCGTCGCCGTCTCGTGATCTCCCTCCTCCTCCATCTTTATCGCACTCCCCCTTCTTTTCCTCCCGCTCGTCCCCTCCTCTCGCGGCCGCCTCAGAGGCGGTAGCTCTACTCAACAGCGACGCCGCGTTCAAGACGTTCGCTAAGGCGCCCGCACCGTCGCCGTGGGCCGTCGCCAACGCTGGCGCTGTCACCATCACCGCTGCCGTTGCTAATGATGCTGCCGCCTTGGCCGTGGCCGTCGTCGTCGTCCGCCCGTGGCGTCTGCGACCTCGCAGGGAGCCAGAGCCCCGCGCATCAACGGCGCGCTGCTCCTTCCAGATGGCTTGGAGCCCATCCTGCTGCAGGAAGGAGGATGGTGTGAGGATGGTCGTAAGAAGGGCTAGGAGGACGAGGAGGGCGGGGGCCGGCGACGGCGGCGGCGGCGAGGACGGCGGCGGCGGCGACGACGACGACGCTTCCGACGAGCTGCGCCTCCGCGGCCCGCCGCCCCGGCGAGCGCCCCCGCCCCCGCGAGGTGACGGCCACTGGCGGCGGCGGCTCGGCAGCCTCGCTGGAGGGGAAGGGGTAGGGCTGGTGACTGGTGATGGTCACGGCAATGGTGGCGGTGGCGCTGGTGACGATGACGGTGCCGGTTCCGATGGAGACTGTTTTTTTAAAGTAGGGGGCCACATGCGAACCCTACCCCTACTCCCCACGATTTCTGAGGGGGAGGGTGGGGTTCACTTCGCTCGGGAGCTCACGAGCGAAGTGAACCCCACCCTCCCCCTCAAAAATCGTGGGGGGTAGGGGTAGGGTTCGCATGTGGCCCCCTAGAAAGGGTCCAGCGTTAGCCCGGGCTACGGGGTCTGCCTGCCCCCCCCCCTCTCCTTCCCAGATGTTTTGACCTTGTCGGATGCGCAGGTCCGAAGGGGGTACAGCAGTCGGGGCGTTGACCTAAGGAACCCTAAAGAAGGAACGAGGCCCCTCCTTTCCCATAAGTTAAACTTCGATTCCCCATCGAAAACCGTGGGAAAACCCGAGGCAAGCTGTGAAACAATCAAGGAACACGGAGCCCCTCCCCAACGAAAAGGGTTCCTTCTTCAGGACCCCTACTGTACACAGTTCTGGTGCGAGCGTGCGTACGTGGGGCTGCCCACAGCGACAAGGTCGGGTTATCGATCGCCACCTCCCTTCCCCCCCCACCGGATAACCCAGGTTGTCGCCGAAAGAAAACACGAGATGCTGATGGCGGCGACGATGCGGCTGCTGCCGCAGATGATGGTAACGATGATGACGACGACGACGATAGCGATGATGACGATGCCGACGGCGATGGTGAAGCCAATGCGGGTGGCGATGGATGCGTATGGGTGATTATCCGTAAGGGCTTCGCCCTCTGTCGCTGGCCCCCGCTCTATCATACAGTCGGGGCGCTGAAGAAGGAACCCTTTTCGTTGGGGAGGGGCTCCGTGTTCCTTGATTATTTCACAGCTTGCCTTAGGTTTTCCTTAGGTTTTCGATGGGACATCGAACTTTAACTGATGGGAAAAAGCGGCCTCGTTCCTTATTTAGGGTTCTTTAGGTCAACGACCCGACTGCAATGGAAGATGAGAGAGCCGTGTCGGGGTGTCTCGGTGCCGTCCTGAAGACCTTTGGGAGCATCGTGTGGGGACGGATGGGACTCAGCACAACAGATTGAAATGTTGGGACTCTACTATCTAGCATGTTGTTGCATTTGTGGGGCGTTCCCCGCGCGGATTCCGTGTACTTTGCTGAAGAGTGTGGCTCCGGGAGCGCGAATTTGGCGTAACTTGCTAAGGATTCTGGCCTCGGAAGCGCGAATCTGGCGTAAGTGACAAGGGTTTCTGGTCTCGGGAGCACGAATCCGGTAATCAGCCACGGATTTTGCCTTCGGGAGCGCGAGCCTGGGGCAATTTGAAAAGGATTCTGGCGTCGGGATCGCGAACCACGTGTAATTTTACAAGGGGTTCTGGCCTCGGAAGCGCGAATCTGGTGTAATTTTCACGGGGTTCTGGCTCTGGGAGCACGAATCTGATGCAGTTGAGAACGAATTCTGGTCTCGGGAACGCAAATCTGGTGTAATTGTTCCAGGGTTCTGGCATCGAAAGCACGACTCTGTTTTCATGTGTGAATGACCCTGGCGTCGGGATCGCGAATCTGTTAGAATTTACGTAGGATTCTGGCCTCGGTAGCACGAATTTGTGAGGCTATCCTGGCGTACTGGATGAGTTGCGGATTCCAACCATGCTCGATTCCTCTGATTCCTTGTGATGGTTATGGTGACGATGGTGGTGATGATGCTGATGATTGGTGGTTCATAACGGTGATGATGACCGTGAACGATGAAGATGATGATGATAACGGGAAGGATCATGGTGAAGGCATATAGGAAGATGGTGATGCTGAGGCTGATGGTGATGCTGATGATTATGATGATGCTGTAGTTGATGACGATGGAGATGATGATGATGATGATGGTGACGATGCTGATGATGATGACGACGCTGGTGATGATGACGACGATGGTGGTGACGACGATGTTGATGTTGATGATGTTGATGAGGATGATTTTGATGATGATGCTTATGATTCTGATGATGCTGCTGATGATGATGCTGAGGCTGATGATGATGCTGGTGCTGATGATGATGATGATGATGGTGATGATGATGATGATGATGATGATGATGATGAGGATGATAGTGATGAGCATGATGCTGGTGATGATTGTTGGTGACGATGGTGCTGCTGGTGCTGATGATGATGATGCTGGTGCTGATGCTGATGCTGATGATGATGTTGAGGGTGCTGATGATGAGGAGGAAAATGATGCGGATGGGGATGATAATGCAGCTGGGGCAGACGATGATGCTGCTGACGGTGATGATAAGGATGAGGACGAATATGATGCGGATGAGGATGCGTATGAGGATAATGAGGGTGACGCTGATGCTGATCATGGTGATGATGATGACGTTGTTTTTCCTGGAGGTGATGGTGATGCTGCTGATGATGATGATGAGGATGCTGGTGATGATGATTATGGTGATGCTGATGGTGATGATGATTGTGATTGCGAGGATGCTGATGCCACTGCTGATGACGATGACGATGATGATGGGGGTGATATGTATGAAGATGCCGGTGACGCTAATGATGATTGTTGTGATGGTGCTTATGATGATGATGATGATGATGATGATGATGGTGGTGGTGAGGGTGATGGTGACGATGATGGTGACAGTTGTTGTGATGGTGGTGATACTGATGATGATGGTGATGTCAATGTCGATGCGGTTGATGATGATGATGATGATGAGGAGGAGAAGGAGGAGGAGGAGGATGAGAGAGATGACGATGATGATGCTGGTCATGATGATGATGATGCTGATTGTGTTGGTGATGATGCTGATGATGATGATAAAGCTGGTGATGATGATGATGATGGTGCTGACGCTGATGATGATGATGATGATGGTGATGCTGACGACGGTGATGATGATGCTGATGCTGCTGTTGCTGATGAGGATGCTGATGTTTATGACGATGGTGTCGGTGGTGGTGCTGCTGCTGATGATTACGTTGGTGAAGATGCTGTTGCTGCTAATTATGATGAAGGCATTGACGATACTGATGATCTTTGCCGATGGTAATGCGAATATTGATGACAAGGGTGACGATGCTGCTGATGATGATGATGGTGGTGATGGTGATGCTGGTGATGATGATGACTGTTTCGACGCTGCTATATAATGTGATGCTGATTGTGATGATGCTGCCGTTGTTGATGTTGTTGGCATATGGTAATGGTTGAGCAAGGTGGTGGTTGTGCATGTGCAGGTCAAGATGCGTCGACGATGATGTTGACGATCACGTCCACGATGCCGATTACGATGATGGCGATGGCGATGACGACGATGGCGATGCCGATGACGCTGACTACGGTGATGGTAATAATGATGCACGTGACGACGATGACGATATGCAAGACTCATGTTGGCAATGATTTTGATGCCGCTCACGACGGGCATGACGATGACGTTGCTCATGCTGGTGCTGCGTCTGCTGATGACGATGAAGCTGACGATATCGACAATGTTGTTGTTGATGGTGATGATGACGACGAGGATGATAACAAGTGTGATGATTGTGATGGTGATGCTTATGATGATGCCGATGCTGATGATGATGCCGATGACTATGATAATGTTGATGATGACGACGACGATGACGATTATGATGATACCGCTTACGATGATGATGTCGCTGAGGTTGTTGCTGGTGATCATGCTGCTGATAATGACGATGGCGATGACGATTTTACTGATGATGATGCTGATGATGCTGATGGTGATGATGAAGATGATGATGATGATGACGACGACGTGATGCTACTGATGATGTCGATGTCGATGACGATGCTGAGGCTGCCGATGCTGCTGATCATGATGGTGATGATAATAATGATGCTGGTAATGATGAAGATGCTACTGGTGATGCCGCTGCTGTTGCTGCTGATGATGGTTATTATTAGTCTGATTAATCACCACTGTTACCACCACCATCAGGCCAGCAGCAGCAGTGGATGGGTGCTATGAGGAGTTGGAGAAGCAGGATGGAGAGGGAGGATGACAACGATGACGGGGAATAGCAGCACCAGCAGGAGGGGCAGGATCATTAGGACGAGGAAGAGCAGCAGCATCAGCAGGAGGGGCTGGTTCACTAGCAGGAGGAAGAGCAGCGGCAGCAGTAGCAAACTTATAACAAGGAGGAGCAGGAGTAGGAGGAGGACCATAGTAAACCCAGGGTTCACCGTCGATGCTTCAATACTACCTCTCGTCCCAAGTCCCTCGTCTTCAGTCCTTACAATCAGTCCTTTCCACTACGGCAAGCCCCTCCTTGAACAGGAACAGAGCGCCTGTGGGCCTGCCATTTTAAGCGACAGCCCCGTTCTTCAAAGGAGCCACCCTGCATAGTTCTAGCAGTGAGATATGGCACGGGGTCTGACCATGCAGTTTACAGTAACGAGCAGCAGTGATGGTGATGCTTATGATGATGCCAATGATGATGATGCCGATTATTATGATAATGTTGATGATGACGACGACGATGACGATTATGCTGATACCGCTTACGATGATGATGTCTGCTGATGTTGCTGATGGTGATCATGATGCTGATACCGACGATGGCGATGACGATTTTACTGATGATGGTGCTGATGGTGATGATGCTGATGATGCTGATGCTGATGACGACGACGTACTGCTACTAAGGATGTCGATGTCGATGACGATGCTGATGCTGCTGATGCTGCTGATCATGATGGTGATGATAATAATGATGCTGGTAATGATGAAGATGCTAATGGTGATGCCGCTGCTGTTGCTGTTGGTGATGGTTATTATTAGTCAGATTAATCACCACTGTTACCACCACCATCAGGCCAGCAGCAGCAGTGGATGGGTGGCATGAGGAGTTGGAGAAGCAGGATGGAGAGGGAGGATGGCAACGATGACGGGGAATAGCAGCACCAGCAGGAGGGGCAGGATCATTAGGACGAGGAAGAGCAGCAGCATCAGCAGGATGGGCTGGTTCACTAGCAGGAGGAAGAGCAGCGGCAGCAGTAGCAAACTTGTAACAAGGAGGAGCAGGAGTAGGAGGAGGACCATAGTAAACCCAGGGTTCACCGTCGATGCTTCAATACTACCTCTCGTCCCAAGTCCCTCGTCTTCAGTCCTTACAATCAGTCCTTCCCACTACGGCACGCCCCTCCTTGAACAGGAACAGAGCGCCTGTGGGCCTGCCATTTTAAGCGACAGCCCCGTTCTTCAAAGGAGCCACCCTGCATAGTTCTAGCAGTGAGATATGGCACGGGGTCTGACCATGCAGTTTACAGTAACGAGCAGCAGTGATGGTGATGCTTATGATGATGCCGATGATGATGATGCCGATTATTATGATAATGTTGATGATGACGACGACGATGACGATTATGATGATACCGCTTACGATGATGATGCCTGCTGATGTTGCTGATGGTGATCATGATGCTGATACTGACGATGGCGATGACGATTTTACTGATGATGATGCTGATGGTGATGATGCTGATGATGCTGATGCCGATGACGACGACGTGATGCTACTGATGATGTCGATGTCGATGACGATGCTGATGCTGCCGATGCTGCTGATCATGATGGTGATGATAATAATGATGCTGGTAATGATGAAGATGCTAATGGTGATGCCGCTGCTGTTGCTGCTGATGATGGTTGTTATTAGTCTGATTAATCACCACTGCCACCACCACCATCAGGCCAGCAGCAGCAGTGGATGGGTGCCATGAAGAGTTGGAGAAGCAGGATGGAGAGGGAGGATGGCAACGATGACGGGGAATAGCAGCACCAGCAGGAGGGGCAGGATCATTAGGACCAGGAAGAGCAGCAGCATCAGCAGGAGGGGCTGGTTCACTAGCAGGAGGAAGAGCAGCGGCAGCAGTAGCAAACTTGTAACAAGGAGGAGCAGGAGTAGGAGGAGGACCATAGTAAACCCAGGGTTCACCGTCGATGCTTCAATACTACCTCTCGTCCCAAGTCCCTCGTCTTCAGTCCTTGCAATCAGTCCTTCCCACTACGGCACGCCCCTCCTTGAACAGGACCAGAGCGCCTGTGGGCCTGCCATTTTAAGCGACAGCCCCGTTCTTCAAAGGAGCCACCCTGCATAGTTCTAGCAATGAGATATGGCACGGGGTCTTACCATGCAGTTTACAGTAACGAGCAGCAGTGATGGTGATGCTTATGATGATGCCGATGATGATGATGCCGATTATTATGATAAGGTTGATGATGACGACGACGATGACGATTATGATGATACCGCTTACGATGATGATGCCTGCTGATGTTGCTGATGGTGATCATGATGCTGATACTGACGATGGCGATGACGATTTTACTGATGATGATGCTGATGATGCTGATGGTGATGATGCTGATGCTGATGACGACGACGTACTGCTACTAATGATGTCGATGTCGATGACGATGCTGATGCTGCTGATGCTGCTGATCATGATGGTGATGCTAATAATGATGCTGGTAATGATGACGATGCTAATGGTGATGCCGCTGCTGTTGCTGTTGGTGATGGTTATTATTAGTCAGATTAATCACCACTGTTACCACCACCATCAGGCCAGCAGCAGCAGTGGATGGGTGCCATGAGGAGTTGGAGAAGCAGGATGGAGAGGGAGGATGGCAACGATGACGGGGAATAGCAGCACCAGCAGGAGGGGCAGGATCATTAGGCCGAGGAAGAGCAGCAGCATCAGCAGGAGGGGCTGGTTCACTAGCAGGAGGAAGAGCAGCGGCAGCAGTAGCAAACTTGTAACAAGGAGGAGCAGGAGTAGGATGAGGACCATAGTAAACCCAGGGTTCACCGTCGATGCTTCAATACTACCTCTCGTCCCAAGTCCCTCGTCTTCAGTCCTTACAATCAGTCCTTCCCACTACGGCAAGCCCCTCCTTGAACAGGAACAGAGCGCCTGTGGGCCTGCCATTTTAAGCGACAGCCCCGTTCTTCAAAGGAGCCACCCTGCATAGTTCTAGCAGTGAGATATGGCACGGGGTCTGACCATGCAGTTTACAGTAACGAGCAGCAGTGATGGTGATGCTTATGATGATGCCGATGATGATGATGCCGATTATTATGATAAGGTTGATGATGACGACGACGATGCCGATTATGATGATACCGCTTACGATGATGATGCCTGCTGATGTTGCTGATGGTGATCATGATGCTGATACTGACGATGGCGATGACGATTTTACTGATGATGATGCTGATGATGCTGATGGTGATGATGCTGATGCTGATGACGACGACGTACTGCTACTAATGATGTCGATGTCGATGACGATGCTGATGCTGCTGATGCTGCTGATCATGATGGTGATGATAATAATGATGCTGGTAATGATGACGATGCTAATGGTGATGCCGCTGCTGTTGCTGTTGGTGATGGTTATTATTAGTCAGATTAATCACCACTGTTACCACCACCATCAGGCCAGCAGCAGCAGTGGATGGGTGCCATGAGGAGTTGGAGAAGCAGGATGGAGAGGGAGGATGGCAACGATGACGGGGAATAGCAGCACCAGCAGGAGGGGCAGGATCATTAGGACGAGGAAGAGCAGCAGCATCAGCAGGAGGGGCTGGTTCACTAGCAGGAGGAAGAGCAGCGGCAGCAGTAGCAAACTTGTAACACGGAGGAGCAGGAGTAGGAGGAGGACCATAGTAAACCCAGGGTTCACCGTCGATGCTTCAATACTACCTCTCGTCCCAAGTCCCTCGTCTTCAGTCCTTACAATCAGTCCTTCCCACTACGACAAGCCCCTCCTTGAACAGGAACAGAGCGCCTGTGGGCCTGCCATTTTAAGCGTCAGCCCCGTTCTTCAAAGGAGCCACCCTGCATAGTTCTAGCAGTGAGATATGGCACGGGGTCTGACCATGCAGTTTACAGTAACGAGCAGCAGTGATGGTGATGCTTATGATGATGCCGATGATGATGATGCCGATTATTATGATAAGGTTGATGATGACGACGACGATGACGATTATGATGATACCGCTTACGATGATGATGCCTGCTGATGTTGCTGATGGTGATCATGATGCTGATACTGACGATGGCGATAACGATTTTACTGATGATGATGCTGATGGTGATGATGCTGATGATGCTGATGCCGATGACGACGACGTACTGCTACTAATGATGTCGATGTCGATGACGATGCTGATGCTGCTGATGCTGCTGATCATGATGGTGATGATAATAATGATGCTGGTAATGATGACGATGCTAATGGTGATGCCGCTGCTGTTGCTGTTGGTGATGGTTATTATTAGTCAGATTAATCACCACTGCCACCACCACCATCAGGCCAGCAGCAGCAGTGGATGGGTGCCATGAAGAGTTGGAGAAGCAGGATGGAGAGGGAGGATGGCAACGATGACGGGGAATAGCAGCACCAGCAGGAGGGGCAGGATCATTAGGACGAGGAAGAGCAGCAGCATCAGCAGGAGGGGCTGGTTCACTAGCAGGAGGAAGAGCAGCGGCAGCAGTAGCAAACTTGTAACAAGGAGGAGCAGGAGTAGGAGGAGGACCATAGTAAACCCAGGGTTCACCGTCGATGCTTCAATACTACCTCTCGTCCCAAGTCCCTCGTCTTCAGTCCTTACAATCAGTCCTTTCCACTACGACAAGCCCCTCCTTGAACAGGAACAGAGCGCCTGTGGGCCTGCCATTTTAAGCGACAGCCCCGTTCGTCAAAGGAGCCACCCTGCATAGTTCTAGCAGTGAGATATGGCACGGGGTATGACCATGCAGTTTACAGTAACGAGCAGCAGCCGCCTTGTTCTGAAAAGGCCCGCCTTCCACCCGTGCATGTGTTGCACACGTGTGCGTTTCAGGTCAAGCAGTGACGAAGTCTTGAAGAGGAGCCGCCTTCATCTGCTGAGCAATTGCTTCATTTTGCAACTTTCTGGTCGCGGGTGTGGGCGTCGCTCAGGCGAGAGCCGCATTTAGAAAACGAGCCCCCCCATCCTCATACTTGCTAGGAGCTTCTAAGACGTGAGCATTTTGAAACAGACCCGCCCTCCGTGTAGCGATCGGGAGATTCGAGCTTCAGGGTCACAAGTGGTCAGGGAGTCTCAGGCGCAGCGCCTGGCCCCCCCCACCGACACACATCTGGGAGGTGCGACGAGGAGGAGTTGTACCTAGAAGATGGGCCGAGGAGGATGGGAGGACGGGAGGATTTGGTCCGGACTCGGCATTGCAGCAGCTGCGCGCCGTCTTGCTGAAGACTCTCACCCCGAGAATCACAGGGGCGTGCACTTGCAGCCACCGCCACCCTCCCCAGCGAAGGGAGGCCCAGCCCTGAGCTCCAGGCGGCCCAGCCCACAGAACCGAGAAGGCGGCGGACGGCGCGAAGCGCCAGAAACGGCAGTGCGGAACGAAAGGGAGGTGTGCAGTAGGTAGAGCTGGCCACGCGCAGAAGGGGGTATGGGGAGGGGGGAAGGCTTCTTAGAAGTACCCCTGCTTCTTAGAAGCGCCGGCCTTCTTTGTGGATGTAAGGCCGGCGCCTTCTAAGGAGCAGCCTCCTTCTAAGAAGCCTTCCCCCTCCCCCTACCCCCGTGTGCGCGCCGCCAAGAAAGAGAACGGCGCAACCATCGAGGATGCCCTGCTGCAGGCGCGCCGGAGGAGGGCGGGGAGGGCGGCGTCGACCTCGACGGCGGCGGCGGCGGCTGCGCCGGCGGGCACGGCCAGGTGCAGCTCGCCGCCCGCCGCCACGGGGCCGCCGCCGCCGGCGCCCGGAGGGCGTCCGCGGCGGCGGCCGCCTCGCGCGCGGAGGCCGAGGGGGTGCTGCTCGGGGCCGCCCGCGCCACGAAGTCTGTGCGGCTTGCCAGGGTCCAGGAGGGGAAAAACACACAGACACAATTGATCCTCGATTCCCGGGAAAAGATGGGAAAATATGGGCCGTGGGGGGGAAGACAGAAACCCAGAAAATATGGGATGGGAAAATATGGGGGACCTTTTTATTTGTGTGGATTTATCTGTGTGTCCCAGGGCCCCTTCAAGGGTCGGGGTCGGGCGGAGGGGGCGGGGTGCCAGCAGGGGCGTTCCCGGTTCGGTCGGCTCGGTGGCGTCGCAGTCGGTGGCGTTCGGTCGGTTCGGCCCGGTCGGTGATCGTGCCGTTGCCGCGTCGCTGCGCCCTTTGAGGTTCCCTGCGGCCTGTCGATCTCGTTCGCTTTCGGTTTCGTAGTCGGTTCTCGGTCGGTTTTCGGCATTTTTTCGGTCTTGCCGTCGCCGTGAGCGGCCTCGGGTGAGGGAACGGGTTGGTTAGGACGACTGCTGCGTGCAGTTGGTTGCGGCCCCGCCCGCCGGGCGCTTTCCTTGATGCCCTGGCGCTTCTGGCGCCGGCAGGTGACGGGAGAGTCAGCTACGTGAGATGGCTCGCCACCCTCCCCTTTCTCACACGAGGTCGCGGCCGCGCTCACCGCGGGCAACCCCTTCGTCAAGGTGCTCGCGGAGATCGAGAACATGAAGAAGCTGATCGGGGAGGAGGCGGAGCTGGACCTGAAGCAGAAGACCTGGTGCGAGGGCGAGCAGAGCTCCAACGAGGAGGCGCTAACGGAGAAGCAGAGCGCGGTCGCCACCCTGAAGGACACCGAGATCCCAGAGCTGGAGGATAGCATCAATAATCCCGAGACCGGCTTCAAGGCCAGCATCTCCCAGAAGGAGGAGGCGCTGGAGCAGAACGCCGCCAGCATGAAGGAGGAAACCAGCATGCGCAAGTTGGAGAATGCGGACTACCAGGTGCTGGCCAACAATTGCGCAGAGGCCCGCGTACTTCTCGAGAAGGCCATCGCGATGCTGGAGAAGTACTACGCCGAAGTCTCGGAGGGTTTCCTACAGAAGCGCAAGGAGGACCCGGCACCGCCCGCGACGTGGGAGTCGGGCAAGTTGGGCACCGAGACCGAGGGCAACGCGGTCATCACCCAGCTGAAGTTCATCCTGACGCAGACAGAGACGGAGGAGCAGACCGCCCATCAGACCGAGGCGGATGCGCAGGCCGCCTACGAGACCAGTATGGGCGAACTGAAGCAGACGGAGACTGACCTTCAGGAAGAGATGGCGGGGCTGCACGAGCTTCTCGCGGAGGCGGAGGAGAACCTCATCAAAAAGCGTGCGGAGCTCGAGCAGACCGAGCGCGAGGCGATCGCCATCGAACGCTACCTGGAGCAGATAAATCCGGGTTGCGATTGGATTAAGGCGAACTATGACAAGCGCGAAGGCTTCCGCTCAGAGGAAACTGCCGCTCTCGACAAGGCCGTGGAGCTCATCACAGCCACGCCCGCCTACGCGACTGCCAAGGCCAACGAGCAGTACGAGAAGTATGGCGAGTGCAAGGACGTCTGCATCGAGGAGGGCATCGACCACGCGAAGTGCCTGGCGTGCAACGCCAAGGCCCACGCGCCCTTCTTTGCACCCCAGGGAAGAGGAGGGCGGGGTGGGGGAGGGAGGGCAGGGGTGTGGGGAGGAGGGGGAGGGAGGAGGAGGGAGGAGGATAGTGATGATGAGCATGAGGAGGCGGAGGAAAAGCAGGAGGAAGCGCAGGAGGAGGAGGAGGAGGAGGAGGAGGACGAGGATGAGGAGGAGAAAGAGGAGGAGAAGGAGGAGGAGGAGGAGGAGGAGGAGGAGGAGGAGGAGAAGGAGGACCCGGGAGGGAGGAGGCGCTCCCAGGTGCTGGGTGGCCTCTTACGAAAGTTCAATAGATATTCCCCCAAAGCCAGTAATGCTGAAATGCTGCTGAGCGCATTCGTGCGCTGAGCTGGTCCGCTGTGGTCTCTACCAGCCGGGCCGGGCGGAAACCCAACCTACTTTCAACGCTTTCCTACTTCATTCATGTCTCTACCCACTTCTTCTGAACGATGGGTATGGAACCAGTTGCGCTGCCCTGGGAATCCGCCACTGTGAGTGGAGAAGCGCCTGGAGGGGGCTGGGGGGACGGGAGGGCGCTGGGGGGTGCCATCGAAGGCGTCGCCCAGAATTACGTCTTTGGCATGTTTTTCTGCGTGGCGTGTGGCAAAAAGCGCAGGGACTTTTCAAAAGAGTGTCAGCATATTGAGCTCGATGCGTCGGGGTGTCCTCATTATTGTTTCTCGATGGCCGTAACTGGCGAAAAGCGCAAGGAACCCTGCACACACACACACACACACCAACCTTTGGGAGCGCGGTGCCGGACGGTTCGAGAGCATGTCCGATTTTGACATCGTCCCTTCTCCATCACGCAGACACCCGTTGGGCCCTCCATTGGCCACTTGTCTCTGGGCTCCTTTTGCTCATGAAGTTCCGCTTCGCATCGTGCCGCCGCCCCCCTGCCCTACAGGCAAAAATCCTAATAAGGACGCGCGACTTTGCCCAGGGTACCCTTGCGCCCTTGCTCTTCCCTGCTCTTGCGTCCCTGAGGTTTTCGTCGTCCGCCGCCCCAGAAATCCCAACTTCGGCCTCCAAGGGTCCTGCGTCCTCATCGCGCGCCCTTATCAGGGTTTTTGACTGTACACCGTACCGACCACAACCAGGACAACCAACCCGGTGACGACGGTCTGGAGCCATGGGTTGAATACATCAGGCGACCGACTCGACAAGCGTCCTCACCGCGCGTCCTTGTTAGGGTTTTTGACCCTACTCGTTGGGGAGGGGCTCGGTGTTCCTTGATTGTTTCACAGCCTGCCTTAGGTTTTTCCTTAGGTCTTCGATATGGAATCGAAGCCTAACTTCTGGAAAATAGGGGCCTCGCTCCTTATTGAGGGTTCCTTAGGTCAGCGCCCCGACTGTACTCGCCCACAGCCTGCCCGGCGCTGTGCGCCACCGTTCCCCCCCCCTCTCCCGCCCTCCCGCTTCCCGCTCGCCGGCCTCCGACCCTGCGCACGGCCCGCCCCCTTCCCTGTCCTCCCTTCTCTCCCCCCTCCTGCCTTGGCCCCTCCCCTTCGCTCTCCTCCCCCCATCCTTCCCCTTCTGCCTTCCCCCCCTCCTCTCCCGCTCTCTCTATCCCCACTCCCCTTCCTGTTCCCATGTTTTTCCTCCTCTCTGCTTCTCTTCTCCCGCCCCCTCCCCCCAGGGGGCACGCATCGACCCCCCGTCCCTCCCCCTCCCCCCAGGGAGCGAGCATCGCCCCCCCCGTCCCTCCCCCGAGAGACCCCCCCCCTGAGGTCTCCGTGCCTGGCTACTGCGCCGGGCACGCGGGCACGCCGGGGTGCTGAGAGCCCTCGCGCGGAGGCCGGGTGGAGGGAGATTCAGGGAGATCTCGAAGCCCATGCGTGGTTTTAAGTCGGGCGTGTCCCCTTACCGGGGGATTTTTGAGGAAAAATTTAAAAAATATTCCAAAAATATTCCAAAATGGTAAAAAAATGCTCAACAAAATAGTCCCCAGACTATTTTTGGATTATTTTTGGATTATTTCTGGGGTATTTTAAATTTTTCGTCGAAAATCCCCCTGTAGGGGGACAGGCCCGACTTAAGCTTGGTTGTTGCATGAAGCAGGTTCGCGCCGCGTCGACGCGGCGGCGGCGCCGACCGCGGGCGCTCAAGGCTGAAAGCAATTGGCGGCGTTGGCCAGGCCAAGCTTGAACGTTTTCCGCTGCTTGGTAGCGGAGATGGCTCAAGATTGAAGGATCTACGCGGTGTGAGAAGGCAACGTCCGATTGGACACGACAGCATGGAGCAGTACTCAACTCCAATGATGCAAGCGATCACGTTGGCCTAGGATATCAAATGCAATCGATGGCCTCGCTGGCTTGAACTCGTGAAAACGATGTGCTCCGATGAGCAGCACACGTCATTTTCGCACACCATGTTGTCCAACTGTGCGGAACTGATCCACATGGTACGATCCATTTCGGCACCCTTGTTCAAATTGGCAGTTCATACAGGCCACCAGTATCACTTGTATGATTTTGGCGATCCCTCCCTCTTTACTAATTGCAGCTTCCGCGCCGTGCAAGCTGTTTGGATCGCCCGGCGCATGCAAGCCATACGAACTGTGTGAGGCGTTTGTTCATTGCTTGTACCCTCTGACTTGTTGTCAGTTTCAAGCACTCGAGTTCGCGTATTCAATTTCCTTGCTGTGGTTCGAAAGACTCAACATTTTCAGAGAAATCCTGCGCGAGCCCCAGTTAAGGGCACTCGTTTGCCGAACTTATGCGTTTGTAAAGCGATGCAGCGCCATCATCTGCAATGATATCAGGCGGACATCCTCACGACACAACGTAATTCATTGTCTATGCATTTGCCATAACGTCGCTCTGCATGATGTAGCGCTGCACGGGATGGCATGTAAAAGCGTCACGCTGTTTCTGCGCAGCCTACGAAACAATGCGATCTCACAGCAATGCGTATCATTGAGCATAGCCTATAACAAACTCGAGTGCCCAATATGGTAATGTAGCAAAGCATGGCTCTGCATAGCACGGCGTAACATCGCAAGGTACAGCATTTCTTTGTATGGCACTGTCTTGCATACTGTAGCGCAACAACCCATCGTATAGCAAGGGCACAACGCAGCATTGCATTGTGCTGCGTATCATCGGAATTCTGGTTTTTCATTCAAAATTTCAGAACTATTCCAGGACAGTTCCGAGAACGTCAAGTTGTTATTTTTACCGTTTTCCTCAACCACCCTGTGGTGTTGGGTCCTCGTGTGGAAGACAGCGCCCCGCGCCCGGGCGAACTTGAGGCGAACCTACCTTGAACCTTGGGCATAACCATCAGTGTCAACCCTTTGCCGCAAAACCCACGTTACAAGCGTACGATTGCACATCTTCAATTCTTATAGCATTGCGTTAACTTGTGTCACCTAGCATACGACTCAGCATGGCATAACGTAGCGTAGCGTAGTACTGCATGGTGCACCATCGTATGGCAGTACGTATCCGTGTGTTGGGTTGCGTAACGCGGCATACGTCACCATGCCATCGCACATCACCTATTTGTGTCTTACCAGCATCATACGCTATACCATGAATTCACAACTCGCCGCGCAGCATTTCGATGCATATGTATGAGCATGTTAGTGCTACGTGGCATATCGCCACGTCGAGTGTAAGTAAATCATGACGGCTCGTACCGTGGCAAAGTGTAGCAAAGAAAACTAGGCAACCCAAACCAACCCATTGCCAATCAGAACAACGCGTAACAAAGGAACCCCGAGGCCCCCCCAGGGAATCTCGGGGAGCCCCGAGGAACCCTGTGGTTACCCCAGGAACGCCAGTGACCCCCCGGGCTCAGGAGGATCCGATGATCGTCACTGGCCTTCTTGCGGGAAAGGTCCAGAAATCTGATGCGCCGACTAACGTAGTGATATTTGAACGTGGTGAGTGCGTCAATTGTCTCCAGCAAGGTGACTAGCATAGGTCGCGTATTCAGAAACAGTTAAATTTGTCCAATTATATGGCTGGTCTCGCATTTGCCATCCGCGCAGGAGCTCAAAACACGTCTACCCATATTGCATGGTTCAATGCAGTGTGGGAGTACGCGGCGGAACAAAAAGGGGGCGTCGCCGCCAAGCCGAAGACCTGGATAAGCCCGAACAGGCCCAGGAGTCGATGCTCCAGTGCGGGGCGCCTGGAGGGCCCGGACAGGGCCGATGACGCCCGAAACCTGATGCCCTCGCGGTCGTCGTCGCCGCCACCCCTCAAGAATCAGGAGGGGAAAAAACACACAGGCACAATTAATCGTCGATCCCCAGAAAATATAGGAAAATATGGGAAGTGGGGGGGAAGACAGAAACCCAGAAAATATGGGAAAATATGGGGAATCATTTTATTTGTGTGTATTTGTTTGTGTGTCCTTGGGCCCCTTGAAAGAATGCGGCGGGCGAGGCAGGGCGGAGTGTGCAGCCCAGAGCGCGGCGGGCGCCCCGAGAGTGTGGCGAGAGCCCCCCTGCGGCGCGCGGGGCGCGCCGAGCGCGCCCTGCGGCGCGCGGGCTCCGACGGGCAAGGCGTCCGCCGAGGGAGGTGCCGGGCGCGCGCAAAGGGCGGGCTCGGGAGGGAGGGAGGAGGAGGAGGAGGAGGAGGAGGAGGCGGAGGAGGAGCAGGAGGAGGAGGAGGAGGAGGAGGAGGAGGAGGAGGAGGAGGAGGTGCCCGGCAAGGCATCTCGGCTATCCGAACAGGCTCGAGGTGGCTTGTTCGTCACAAGTCTCGGAGCCAGGGCCGCTACAGACACGACTCGGGACGCAAAGCTGGCCTTTGGGGGACGACTCGAGGCGTCCAGGGGGCCCACACATCGAGCAGATCGGAGCGCTGGATGTCTGCCTGGCGCGGCCCCTCTTCCTCGTGGCAGCTCGTCCTTCCATGCCCCCCCCCCTCGAGGATCGAGGTAGGGAGGGTCGAGGATCGAGTTCTTTGAGCGTCTCTGGCCCCGCCTAGGCCTCCAGAGACCTCTGGGACTCCCCTCCCACCCACCATTTCCCTCCCTCCCTCGCTCGGCATCCTCTCCCTCGCCCCATTTTATTTCTATCATCCCCCCTTCCCCACATCTCCTTTCCATTGTTCCTCCCCACTTGCCTTCCAAGAGCGATTATAATGATGATGATGATGTTGATGATGATGCTGCTGATGCTGATGCTGATGATGATGGAGGTGATGACGATGATGTTGATGATGGCGATGGTCATGATGATGCTGCTGCTGATGATGAAGATGATGATGCTGCTGATGCTGATGAGTATGATGATGCTGATGCTGATGCTGATGATGATGTTGATGATGCTGATTATGACGATGATGATGAATGACGATGATGATGATGATGATGATGATGATGATGATGATGATGATGATGATGATGATGGTGGTGATGATGATGATGATAATGATGATGCTGATGCTGATGATGATGATGCTGCTGATGATGATGCTGATGCTGATGATGCTGATGATGATGATGGTGATGCTGCTGCTGATGATGCTGATGATGATGATGATGATGCTGATGATGATGATGATGGTGGTGGTGGTGGTGGTGATGATGATGATGATGATGATGATGATGATGATGATGATGATGGTGGTGGTGGTGGTGGTGGATGGTGGATGGTGGATGGTGATGGTAAAGGGCATGTCGACAATGATGAGGATGAGGATGATGAGGATGAAGAGTAGGAGGCGGAATGCGCAGGAATCTGATAGTTATGACGCATCGCATGTGCACCAAATGGTGGCGCCATACGTGCCTCTGCATACGTACATGTTGCACCATCTCGCTGCCACATGTTATGTTTTGAGAAAGCAAGCATCTGAAGGACCTGCCGTCCATGGACATACTCCAGATTCCGCATTGTATGGGCTTCTACATCAGCGGATCGTTGGGCTCTCTTGGCTCGCTGTTAGGGCTGGCAGTCACTTCAGTGGATTCTTGGAGGACGCCAGTTGTCAAGTTTCTGGAGTTGGGAGTTGCTGGCGCAGGGGATGGCCCCGTCACTGCTCACAGCCTTTTCCTACTCTTCCCACACCTATGATATCTTTCTCGTGTTTTGCTCGATGTCTCCGTCTCTCTTGAACGAACTCATGAGCATCAAAATGTGATTCCCCCAGCAGAGCTCTTCTTCACGCCGTCCTGTGGGATCCCGAGTGCGGATTGCCACGGTCTGACCCGTGTGTGTGTGTGTGTGCGTGTGTGTGTGTGTGTGTGGCGTGAGTGGTGGCAGGGCGCAGGCTAAATTGTGTGTTGGGCGATTCCGTGGACCGTTTTCGTGCTGATCTCATGCTGCAGCAGCGGCGGAACCGAAGACAGGGCGAGGGAAGACGAGCACCACACGAGCACGAGAAGCACTGCACTCGAGAGCCCCAGCGGCGTGTGCATGGCGCTGGGTGGGGCGGGGGGTGGGGGGGGGAAAGCCAGGCCACCCGCCGCAGGGACACGCAGGCGACTGCGCCGCGCGCTCCGCGGCCTGGGCCGCCGACGCGACGCCTGCCCCTCTCCTCGTCACCGGGGTGGCCCAGGAGGGAGGAGGAGGAGGAGGAGGAGGAGGAGGAGGAGGAGGAGGAGGAGGAGGGAGGAGGAGGAGGATGAGGAGGAGGAGGAGGAGGAGGAGGAGGAGGAGGAGGAGGAGGAGGAGGAGGAGGAGCGGGCCCGCGCATCCTCTGCCGGCCAGCCGCGGCCGCCCCCCGCGGAGACAGCGGGCGCCGGGCCGCCGCTCTCCCCGCGCTGCGGGCGCCGCGCCCCGGCGGGGCCGCTCGCCCATGGGCGCAGCGGCAGGCGGGAGCCCTGCCCAACCTGTCGCCTCGGCTTCCCTCCTCGCTCTCCTGGTCCTGCTTCCTCTTCCAGGCGCCCCCCTCTCCCCCTCTCCACAATTACCCAATATGAAAATACTCTCCCTCTTCCCCTGATGGCGTCCGGGTGATGGCCGCGCACCCTCCGCGTACTGTTTTTTTACACACAGGATGCCCGGGAGATCCCGGGAAACGACTCTCGCTGAGGCGCCGGCGTCATTTTTTCCCAAAATGCTGCTCTCGTTGAGGCGCCAGCCTCATTTCTGCTCCCGAATCGTTCCGAATCGTGCTCCCGCTGCAGCGTGGGCCTCATTTTCGGATCGGTGTTCGGCCTCCGTCGTTCAGGATGGCGTTCTCGCCCCAGCGCGGGCCTTTTTCTCGCGCGCCCATCCGCCCGCCACCACCGCGCCGCACCGCCACCACCACCACCACCACCACCACCACCACCACCACCACACCACCACCACCACCACCACCACCACCACCACCACCACCACCACAACCACCACCAGCACCAGCACCAGCACCACCACCACCACCAGCACCAGCACCACCACCACCACCACCATCACCAGCACACCACCACCACCACCACCACCACCACCACCACCACCACCACCACCACCACCACCACCACCACCACCACCACCACCACCACCACCACCACCACCACCACCACCACCACCACCACCACGACAACCACACACACACGCACGCACGCACGCACGTGCACCACCACCCACTACGCACGCGCGCGCGGAGCCACAGGTCCGCTACGACACGCGTCCGCGGATAGAGAAAATCAGCGCCATGGTAAGGTATGGGAGGTAGGGGGAGGACGTCAGATATGACGCGAGCGCACCCCGCTTGCCCTCTCCCCCTCTCCCCCTCTCCCCCTATCCTCCTCCTCCTCCTCCTCCTCCCTCCTCCTCCTCCTCCTCCTCTTCCTGCTCCTCCCTCTTCCTCCTCCTCCTTTGTGGGGCCCCAGGGGGCCCGCCTCGGGGCCGCGGCTGGACGCGGCGCGGACAACTTGTCAGAAAGGGTGCCCAGGGAAGGGTCTGGGGAGCGGCTCTGATCGGAGTCTGCCTGGGGGAGGGCGAAGGGCCAACTTCCGCGCGTCTTGCTTGCGAGTCGCTTCTCGTTGCGCTGCGCCGCGAGAGATGCCGGCAGGGCTGGGCAGGCGTTTCGCTCGAGACCTCCCGAATACCATGAGCTCCATGCTTAGGCATATATAGCTACCGCTCCTGCTCCCCCCCCTCTCCCCCATCTCCGAACTTTCGCTTCCGTCCAGTCTTTCTTCGTAGCTCAACGGCCCTGGCCCATGAGTACCATGATCTGCACTAAGCGAGCGGACTGGTATCGGGTCGTTTTCAGAATCGCGCTCTCGCTGTCGATGTGCGCACAGTTTGAAGTCCGGACAGTTGCATGATTGCAGGAGGGCGGTCTGTCTCCAAACTCGAGCTCTCCATTTAGGATGTCTAAGTGGCCTTCGGCCCATCCTGCCACCGTGCTTACCCGTCGGAGGATGGCTATCTTGGGAGGATATTGGGGATCGCTTGGGCCATCGTGGACGCTGTGGAGGCCCCGAAGGCGAATTCTCTGAACATGCACGTTTTCCTATGTGATTTGAGCCATTTTGTGCCTCTTGGGGCCCTCTTGAGCGTGCTCTTGGCTTTCTTGGAGCGTTTTGGGGGCCTTCTGGGGACCTCTTGAGACGTCTGGAGAGTATCGAGGGCAGTACTGGGGCCAGTCGGGCTGCTTCGGGGGGTTCTTGGACATTCTCCAGGGCTTTTGGGGAAGTCTTGCGGGTTCTTCGGGTCGTTTTGGTCGTGGTCACCTTCCCAGGGCCCACGCGGAGCAACAAAAACGAACGCCCCAGAGCGCCGGGGAAACTGGGGGCCCGGGCCCTCACGAACCTTGCAGCCCCAGCACCTCCCAGGGCTGCTGGAGCCTCGGGGCACTCCACTTCGTGTCTGCGGTACGGTGGTGGATTTCTTCGTTGTGTGGAGATGTTGCTCCCAACAAGCTCGACATTTCAGGTCTCATTGTTTGCGTCGGTGCCTTCCCACTTGGGACCCACTTTTCGCGACCCACCCGCAACCCACCAGCACCGCGGTCCACCCGTAACATTGCTTTCAGCAAATCGGCGCCTGTGGCGGACCGACCCACCCACATTGTTTTCAAACAAGAGTCGGCGCTTGCTGTTGGCTGTTTTGCGCTGGCTTTGGAGAGCACCGTTGTGCGGCCCAGCCCGTGTGCCCTCTACTGTTGCCCGCAACTGCGGGGGAAACAGGTACACACTGCGCTTATTGGTAGTCTCGTGCATCACTGCTCAAGCCTGGGCTGCCAGGGTCGCCCGCGAAGCATGAGCCTTCCTCCTCCTCTGGGGCCGCTCTCCCCTGGAGTCTGCAAAGGGCCGCTGCCGTGCCCGTCAAGTCAGTGTGGGGGGGAGGATACAGTCGGGGCCCTGAAGAAGGAACCCTTTTCGTTGGGGAGGGGCTCCGTGTTCCTCAAGTGTCTCACAGCTTGCCTCAGGCTTTCCTTATGCTTTCGATCGGAAATCGAAGGTTAACTTATGGAGAAGAGGTGCCTCGTTCCTAATTTAGGGTTCCTTAGGTCAACGCCCCGACTGTACGTGCGGATCAGTTTTTTTTCCAGACCTGCTGTGCCCGGCCGTCGCTCGGGGCGTGCAGCTCTGACGAGCCGCTGGTCGCTGTCACACCACCAGGCTGCGGGAGAGAGGCGCACGCGCGCCGAGGC